TCCTCCTCCTCCTCCTCCTCAGCCGGAAATCAACGCCTCCTCCTCCTCCTCCTCCTCCTCCTTCTGCCCCTCCTCCTCCTCCTCCTCCTCTTCCTCCTCCTCCTCGGTACCCCTCCTCCCTTTTCTACTCAAGGCACCGGATAGGACCATGGCCCAGGAGGATCCACGCGTCCGCGGGCAGCCAGCCCCCGTCCCCCAGCGCTGTGGGACCACACTTCAAGAACGAATGCGGGGCACAAGGATCACGACGACGACGAGGACAAGTATGACGACGAGTACGACGACGAGTACGACAACAAATACGACGACGAGCACGATGACGAGTACGACGACCAGTACGACGACGAGTACAACGACGAGTATAACGGCGAGTACGAGTACGAGTACGAGGTAGGAGTACGAGTACGACTACGAGGACGACGACAAGAAACGACGACCACGACGACGACGACGACGAGGACGTCTGAACCCCCAAGACCCGAAGAACCCACAACGGGCCCCAAGAGCCCCAAGGGGGCCCAAAGTATGCCCCATGCATTCAAGCGCTTCTCAAGAAGCCTCCACGGGCTCCACAACTGCCTGCCAGAAAAAGAAGGCGACCCTCAGCCGGGAGAATAGGAGGAAGACGACGACGACAACTCCACCTGGTGATCTTGAGATGAGAGGCCCGAGTGGAACCCAGTTCGCTCGCCGCGCAATGCGAACAACGGGTTATGTGAGGACACGCTGTGAACATCAGGAGCAAGAGGCTAGTTAAAATAAGCTCCCCGACCGCTGCCGCAGCAACGAAAGGCTCCGAAGGATGGCAGGCCTGGAAACCCGAACCACGACGAAGCCGACGGCGAGGTCGACAACGAGAACGAGGACGACGACCGCGACGACGACGGCACAGCGTCCGCACACGAAACTGTCACGAAACCTCCTTTCCGCCAGCGGGCGTCGGGCACGAAATTGTCACGAAACCTCTCTTCCACCACCGGGCCGTTTGGAAGCCCTTGGGGCGTATCTTTGGGCCTCCTGGAGGCTGTTGGGGCCTCTTCGGGGCTTTGGGGGAACTTGTTGGCTGTTTCGGGCCCGTTGGGGGAATGAAGGTTTCGTGAAGGAGGAGGAAGATGTACGAACATTACACCCACATCAATTGAATTACTGCAGCGTGAATGCCTGTGCCGGAAAGACAGGCAAGATCGGAGAGGCGCCCAGAGACATGATGCCCAGAATGTGGTGCTCCGCCCCCGTGCCCTCTGGCACGTGGAGGCGTGCTAGAATGCCAAGTCCTGCCTGATAGAACTTCTGGATTCTGGACTGTTCTGAAGGCCCACCCATAGCTCGCACCTCGCTGCACGGATCGCCCCCTCTCCCCGAGGCTCTGTCGGCGCCGAGACACGCCCCTGGAGTTGTCCAAGACGTCCACACCACCCAAGATGGCTTCCAGGACCGCCGAAAAAGCACCGAGAACGCTCCAGGAGCACCCCCAGAGAAGACCGCGGAAGCCAGAATCACGGATATGCATCCTGTGTTTTTCAAGATGTTCGTCCTCTCCTGCTCGTCCTGCCCCGCTGCACCACCTACCCCAATCCTCCTTTCCCCGCCCTCCTCTTAATCCCCAGGACGCGCGCCCGGTTGAGCGAAATTTACATGTCTTCCACTTCAATGAGACCTCCTTTGCGTCGCGCGTAACCCCAATTTGGGGTCGGCGGCAGAGGCGGCAGCCTTTAGATAAGTATTCGATGGCACGTGGGCGGGTAGGAACGATCCGTCTTAACATGATTGTTGATGATGATGGTTGTTTGTTTTTTGTTGTTTCTTGTCGTTGTCCCCCCCGCGACAAGGCCCGCGACTCACCCGCGACCCACCCACGACCCACCCCGCGACCCGCCCACGACCCGCCCGCGACCCATCCGCGACCCACCAACGACCTGGCCAGCGACCCACCCGCGACCCACCCGCGACCGTATCACATTGCTTTCGCGAAAAAAGTCGGCGCCTGCGGCGGGCTTCTTCAGAACCTCGCCGACTGCCAACGTCCCCGCCGCCCCCTCACTCTTACCCGCAACTGCGGGGTGCTACGTATGCTTGCATTCTTGGTGGCCGATCAAAGGCCCCAAATCGCATTTTCGCTACAAGATGTCAACAATATGTCTGTGTGACGCTGCGCAAGAAGCGTGTGCGAAATGAATTCAAATGTTTCAATAATGTTTTAGTGATTCTTCATTTTGGTTGTAATGCATACGTCGTAGGCACTATAACGCCCGTGACCGGCCTGGACCACCCCCCCCCCTCCGACCCTGGTCAGGTCACGATGCGCGCTGGCGCCGCCTGGGACTAACTATCCCTGAGCATTCCCAGACGGCGCCAGCGCGAATCGTGACGTGACTGAAAGCCGCTCCTTCCCGGATTTCCGTGCACGCGGCGGCGCAACTCTAGGTGGCGACAGGCGAACCCGGAAGCCGGGAGGCAGGGGCAGGGAATGGATTTCGCCACGTCTATTGGACCCCTACCACCGCCGCCCATCGAGTTGGCTGAAGCGTTGATCGGCGAGGGTAGGGTTCGGATTTCGCCGCTGAGCAACGTGGCCTGTGTCTCGGTGGCACCGCCCGCCTCTGCCATCCTTTCGTTCTCCCTATCTCTGGCCTGATGGCGCCGGGTGCACTCGGACGCTTTCCAGTCGGCACCCGCGTCCTTCCCTCCCTCCTCGAGGGCGGGAACGCATCCGTACAGCAAGTCCGTGCCGTGACGACCCAGGCGGTGGTTTCTGACACCGCGTGGATTGTTCAACCTTGAACCTGAGTGTCGTTTAACCGATCCCCATCCCCAGTGGCGTGGCCTGGGCCCCACTGGTCGTTTTACCCCCCCCTCCATGGGGATACAATAGAACGTTCCCTTCGGGTTTCTAGCGGTGTATCCCCAACTGGGGGGGTAATTTGGTGGGAGTCTCGAAGGGAATGGGGATAGGGATGGGGGTCGGAGAAACGATACTGAAAACCATCGGCAGCTTTTGCACCGCCAGATCGTTCAATGTCTGGGCCACTGGCGGCGTTTCACCTTGGACGCCCACGCTGGGGCTGCCGCCACGCCGACACAACCCGAGCATACCGTGCACATCCGCACCGACTTCCTCGCGGACCGGATCCCTCTGCCGTCACCGCGTGGACACGGGGCAGAACCTGTGCGGGTGCTCCGCGCGGAACGCATCCGTGGGATCGCGCCGCGGTGCCCAGACCGCGAGCGCATGGAACATTTTGCCGGAGAGGACAGCCACACTTGAGCACAACCTGTCCGAGGTCCGCGCGGATGTCTTGGATCGGCGCTGGAACACCCTTGCGGCGCCGCCCCTGGCAAACCCCGGAACACCGAAGTCGTTTTGGGTCTCCAAACGCGCTGGAATTCACAAGGCGCGCCGCCCGCATGCCGTGCCGTCGTGCCGTACTTTGCCTGTGCTCTGGGACGGGCCAGACGCGCCGGCCGCGTGCCGCGGCCGGGCAATGCCCGTATGTATGCCATGCCATCGTTCCGTGCCTTGCCTGTGCTCTGGAACGCCCCAAACGCGACGCCCGCGGCCGTGCCCGTGCGCGGTGCCGCAAGCGTGCCTTGCCCGTGCTGCGGAACGCGCCGAACGCACCGCCCGCGTGCCGCGTCCGCTCCGTGCCCGCGCGCCGTGCCGTCGTGCGCTGCCGCGCGGGTGCCCTGCGCCAAACAAACCGCCCGCGTGCTGTGCCCGCGACGTGCCCGAACGCCGAGCCTGCAGCGCGGAACGCGTCGCCAGCGTGCCCGTGCCCGTGTGGTGTCCCGTCGTGCCCGTGCTCTGCGCGTGCCGTGCCATGCCTCGCACGCGTCCTGCAGCGGGTCGCACGCGCCGCCCCCGTGCCCCTGCCGTGGCCGTGTGCCACACCGCCGCCCCGTGCCGTGCGCGTGCCGTCTGTGATTGCTGGAGTGCGAGAAGCGCGCCGCCCGCGTGCCGTGCCCGTGCCGCGCCCGCGATCCACGCCGTCGTGCGGTGCCGTGCGCGGGCCGTGCCTGAATTCAATAACGCGCCGAACGTGCCGCCCACGTGCCCTGTCCGTGTCGTGCCCGTGTGCAGTGCCGTCGTGCCGTGCGCACTCTGGGATGCGACAGGTCAGAATGCGGAGCATTGCCCTGCCGTGCCGTGCCGTGCTGGCCATGTGTCTCATCATGCAGCGCTGGTATTCAGGCCGTGAAGTTTGGGATCTCTATGCTGGTGTTTACATCTTTCTCTAGACGTGCTCGTCACTCTTGTCAACCCTCCCCCCGCCCCCCTGCCCTTGGGACGTCGACGCAGACTCTTCGGCTGCCATTCCTTTGGCGTCTTCGTCCACCGCGGTGAGATGTGTTCGTCGCTCCTGGCATTTGGACGCCAGAAATGAGTTACGGCAGAAGTGGGTACGATAGCGAACAACACGTGTTGCCCACCACCCACAGCGGCCGCTGCTTGGCAGGCGGCATCCTGTCGCAGGTGGACAACGCCCGCGGCAACGCCGACAACGAGTCCTAGGACTTGTATGGCCGGACCTGGGACAGAATTCGCCGGCCCAACGGGCCAGAGGCGTGCTAAGATCTCCGGTAACTGCTAAATAATATTTCTACTTCGCGCGCGCGGGGCGGCCCCTGGGGGTCCCCGGACGAAAAGTACCCCGGGCGATCCCCAGCAGACTCGGGTCAGAGATGGTTTTCCTCCTGGGCGCCGCCCCCGTGGCCCTCCAGAGAGCCCCAAGAAGGGCCACGAGGCCGCCAAGAGCCCTCCAAGATGGTTCAAGAGTGCTCCGAGATGCCACACGATCGTTCCAAGACGCCCAAGATGGCCCCCAGACGCCCCAAGAGGCCTCCAAGAGCACTCCCCAGAGGGCCCCAAGAGGCAACATTCATTATTTTTCCTTAGGTTTTGGGCAGAGTTTGGCGTGTCCAGCTTTTCGGCTTCCCGACGCCCCAAGACGGCTCAGAGGCCCCCAAGATCGCGCCAAGAGGGCCCAAGAAGCTCCCAAGAAGGCCCCAAGATGGCCCAAAAAGGCTCCAAGACGGCCCCAGAGGCATCCAAGAAGGCCCAAGAGGGGCCCAAGAGGGCCCCAAGCGATGCCCCAAAGGGGGAACACAAAACAAAACTTCGAGCCCTCGGCCTTAAGAAGCCCCCAGGAGGCCTCAAGAGGCCCCTGAGAGGCCCCAAAAGCCCCCAAGAGGCCCTCAGGAGGCCCCCAAGCGACGCTGAAGAGGCCCCCCAGCGGCCCCAAGAGGCTCAGTCATGCGAAATGGGCCAGCGGAGTGAGTGAAGCGATTCAATAAGCCACCCTCCAAGACATGAGACCCTCCACGGGCCAAACGAAAGAGCATCCAAGGGCCCCCCTCCCCCGAGATGCACAATGAACATCCAACGGGCATGGAGAACACCGAGGCACCGCCTCCGAACCGACCTCGATCTGCTGCCTCGGTCCGACCGTGCCCCTTCTTTCCGTACCCATTCCCTGAGATCCGACGTTGCGAAAAATTTGCAACATCGCAAAACATCACGATTGGACCCCCAGACCCCATCCTTCTGCGTCATTTTTGTTTCGAACCGGATCGAACATGTGAAGGTCCCGGGGCCAGAACAGCAGGCAAAAGCGCCAGGCTCGAAAAAGCCGAGTCGCCAGGACCTCAGGGCTTCGATCGTCGGGATGCCATTCCAGCCTCCCCATCCGCGCCCCTCGGGCGGCGAGGAGTGCTCTCCAGCAGCGGCTGGCGTGCTTCGGGCCCCATGCTTCCCCGTGCATGCTTTCGGCTTCGTGCGTGTACTCTGCCCGAGGGTGATCCACAAAGTGCTCCACAAAGGCCCTCGCCGAGGAAAAAAGTGCACACGTCCGAGCGACGCCAAGGACCCCGCAGGGCCTGGCAGGACATCGGCCCTTCGGGCAGCGGCCGGCGTGCCTCGGGCCCCTCCGCGCACGGGAGCCTCATGCTCTGAGCGGGCTCCGCCGCCCGCGGCTTCCCCTCCCCCCCTTCGTCGCGCCCTTCCTCCCTCCTTCTCCTCCTCCTCCTCCTCCTCCTCCTCCTCCTCCCTCCTCCCTCCTCCTCCTCCTCCTCCTCCTCCTCCTCCTCCTCCTCCTCCTCCTCCTCCCTCCTTCTCCTCCTCCCTCCTCCTCCTCGTCCCTCCTTCTCCACTTGTGCCCTACCATGTGCCGGAGCGTCCCCCGCTGCCCTCTCGGCCTCCCGCCCCGCCCCCCTGGGCGGCGCGCCGAGGAGCACCCTGCGGCCAGCCCACGCCGCGGCGAGCGCGCGGTGCGCCTCTGGCGCGCGGGAGGGGGAGGGGCGCCCTGCCCTCTTTGAGCAGGGCATCGACTGCAGTCGGACCCAGGCCAGAAGAGCATGCCTCAAGAACATGAGGCCCTGCGTCGGCGGAAACGAGCAGAACATCCAAGAGTATCCTCCCCAGAATACACAAGAGCATCCAACAAACACGAATAACATTAGGGTACCCTCCCCAAGCCGATCTCGATCTTACTTCGATCCGACTGTGCACATATGATTTCCCCCACGCATTTGATCTGCGCGGCGAGTCTGCACGAACGAGTGCGCATAATTCTTGTACATCTACGAACCTTATGCGCACTTGTTGTAGAACCCCAAATGCTTGTATATTGTTCGTAGAGCTACGAACATGCTGAACACTTGTTGCGGATCCGACGAACATTTCAATTTGGAGTACGTCAGTTCTGTAGGCTCAATCCCCTGCTCGACCCCTTGAAGGGGGGCAACACCGAGGCGCGCCCCCGCACGGAAGACGCCCCGGCGGGGAGGACCCGCCGCCGCGCCGTGCAGCGAGGAATGGGGACCTCGCGAGGCGGGGGGAAGGAGGAAGAAGGGCTTCGCGAGGCGGGGGGGGGGAAGGAGAAAGAGGGGCCTCGCGATGCGGGGGGCCGTGTCGCCTCATGGTTCGCACCCCCCCCCCCTTCTGTGCTCGGATCCTCGTCGTCGTCGCCGTCGCCATCGTCGTCGTCGTCGCCGTCGTCCAGAGGCGGCCGGGCGCGGCCAGCGGATGCTCGCCTCGACGATCCTCGGAACGTGTGTGGGCAGACGAGCGCGTTCCACTACTCGCAAAGTAACTGCTCGCAAACGGCCCGGATACGCCGCGGGGGATCTACGATAAGTTACAGCAAAGCCGACATGTGTTTTTGTTGCGGACGTTTGCGAGTAGGCACTTTGCGAGTAGTGGAACGCGCTCGGTGAGCCAGCCTCAACGTGTGTGTGTGTGTGTGTGTGTCCAGCGAGGCCCTTCGATACGACACAGGCGACGTAACGATCTGCTGGTTGGGCCGAAGGGGGTAACACACACACATTGGGTTAGCACACGTCCTGAGGATCATCGATCGCTTCCCCTTCGGTCTGGGTCAGGGGCTGCGGCCCGCGGCCCGCAAGCTGGAGGGAATTCCATTAGTTGTAGGTTGAACCGACTGGGGATGGCGGGGAAGATGTCCAGCTACACTCCACCTGCTCCCCCGCACTCCACCTCACGTCGTCGCCGATGAAGAGCTGGACTGGCTCTCCGGGGCCTGATCTGCTCCGTTAGCCCACAAAACTGCTGTGGCACAACCAGCGCGGCCGCAGGGGAAAAGGATTGCGGTTTTGAACGTGTTCGGTCATTCTTCGGCTCCTGGAGGTCTCTCTGGACCTCCAGGCAGGAGGGCCCAGAATCGAATCGATAGGCCAGATAGGAGATCGAAATGGATCCGATCGGCGGAAATGGGCAGCTAGGTCGGGAGAAGTTGAATCGGCGGAGATCGGGAGGCTATAAGGCCTCCATCCAGAAACCGAAATCCAGAATCGAATCGAATCGGAATCTGAATCGGTCGAAATCGAATCGAGCCGGAGGGGTTGAAACGAGCCCTTCCAAAACATGTAAGGTGTTCCGTCTCAGCATGGCGAGGGGGGGGCAGCATCTGTCCACCCCCAGCCTGTTGCAGCAACATCGATTAGGATATCCAGTGGTGCACGCGTTTGCGCCCATCGACGTTGCTTCGACGGACGGACGGACGCTCGCGTGCGCGCCAGGGCGCGGTCCCTCTGGGAACGGAGCGGTGGCGCCGTGGCGCCGGGATGCTGTGGTGTATGGTGAAGCATGCGTTCGAGACACATGAAACAATTAGGCGCGTCAGAGGGGAGGGAGGATGGTGCACTCGACGTTGCTTCGAGCACCATATGAAGGTCGGTCTGAACTCAGCGTCTGGCAAGATGGCTGCACACACAGCTCGGCGCAGGCGGGAGAGAAGGGCCCGCAGGCGCGCCGCCTCGCTTGCGCAGCCAATTCCTCCGGGAGACCCGCGGAGGGCCGTATCGGCAGCACGCGTCCTGCACTGCACATACGTACGTCGAGTCCAGGACAAACGTCACCGTGGGTACAGCCGGACCTGGAGCAGAAGTACGTCCGTGAAGAACACGAGACCCTCCGGCGGCCAAAACGCGCAGAACAGCCAAGGGTACCCCCCTCAGGATACACAGGAACATCCAACAGACACGAAGAACATTGGGCTAGCCATCGCTCAGACGTCCATTCCCCGTGCACCTTTCTATATCGTGCGTTTTTTTTCACGCGAAGATTTGAGATGCTCCTCGATGGCCCCTCGCCGAGAAAACTGCACACGTCCGAGGAATGCCAAGCGGGGCGCCCTCCCCGAGCCGACCTCGATCATCTCATGCCCTCACGCCTCGGCCCGACCGCACTGTGTCGGTATCGTTTCACCGATCCCCATCTCCAGCGGCGTGGCCTGGGCCCCGCTGGCCGATCTACCCCCCTAGATGGGGATATTGGCCGTTCCACTCGGGATTCGAGGGGTGTATCCCCAAGTGGGGTGGGAATTGTCGGCGGTGGACAAACCTCCCTTTAGGAAACCTCCCTTTAGTGAAAACTACCAGGGACCGAAACCGACGGACCTGGACCCGCAAAAAAAACGGCCGCGATGCCCTCTCGAAAACCGAAAACGGACAATTCACTAATCGACGTGTCAGGGCAGGAGGTCTGTCCACCCCCAAAATTGGGTGGGGGTCTCGAAGGGGATGGGGATGGGGATCGTTGAAAAGATACTGTGGGTGCACCCGCCGCCGCGGCGGTGTGCAAACACAGGGGCTCGGAGGGGGCGCGCGGCAGGAGCAGACGCGCGCCCCTCCGCCGGCACCCGGGCGCCTCCCGAAGGGAACCTGGGCGCCGCCCCTGCGCGTGGCCCTCGCCATCGCTTGGGCGGCGTCCTCTCCCCGTGCATGTTTCGGTTTCGTGCGTGCACCTTGCCCTAAGTCGGGCCTGTCCCCCTACAGGGGTAGTGTGTACGAATCATGAAAATGGTCAAACAATACACCCAAATGGCCAACATACATATATATATATATACATACATACATACATACATACATACATATATATATATATATATATCACCCTGCAATTGCGGATAAGGGTGAGGGGGCGGGCGCGGGCGACGCGGGCGTCGAGCCGGCGGACCTCTAGGCCCTAACCTTCCCTGTCGATGGCGCCCTCCTCCTCCTGCTCCTCCTCCTCCTCCTCCTGCTCCTCTTCCTCGTCCGCGTCCTCGTCCTCATCGTCGTCGTCGTCGTCCTCCTCCTCCACCTCCTCCTCCTCTTCCTCCTTTTCTTCCTCCTCTTCTTCCTCCTCCTCTTCCTCCGCCTCCTCTTTCTCCACATTCTCCTTACATCCCTTCTTCTTCCGCGTCTTACTCGTCCCCTGTTTACTCCTCTGCCTCGCCCTTCTTTCTCAAGATACCGGCAAACCAAATCCTTTGTTCCACTGAATGCTCCCCGACTTCTCTGATCCAGGCAACTCGTCAGGGTAAAGTTGCTGGATGGGTTGGTGTGGCTGAGCGGAGCTTAAAGAGGTCTTGGGGGGCTCAGACGGCATGCAAAATCCGCCGCCGCCCTTGTGCGGCACTGGCATGCTGTGTGGTAGGGGGTTAGTGGACGCCCCCCTCAGGAGGGTCCTTGAGCGCCCCGAGGCCCCTTAATTGTGGGCGCCTTGCCTTGATGCAGCTTCCCCTGAACCCAGACTTTGGGCACGGATGCCGAATTGCAGCAGGCAACTGGATTGTCAATGAACGTGTTCAGACACAGCCCCGCCGCAGGCGCCGATGTGCTGTTGTAGAGTCAGCGTGGGCCGGATCGGGGGAATGGCACGAGGGCGCTTTCCCAAACCAATGCGAGTAAACCCGCCGCAAGCGCCGATTTGCGTGCTCCGACAAATTCAGCGCAGGGGGGATCGCTGGTGGGCCACCCGGAACGAATGCAAAAACAGCCCGCCGCAGGCGCCGAATTTTTGGCATGTTCAGTGAACGTAGTTTGGGTCGCGGGTGGGTCGCGGGCTCTCCACCTCCACCTGGAAGGAATTCAAAAACAGCCCGCCGCAGGCGCCGAAAATTTTGATTCGTACACTGAACGTGGTACCTCCACCTGGAAGGAATTCAAAAACTGCCCGCCGCGGGCGCCGAAAACTTTGATTTGTACGCTGAACGCGGCTTGGGTCGCGGGTGGGCTGCAGGTTCTCCACCTGGAACGACTGCAAAAGAAACCCACCGCAAGCGCCGGAAATTTTGGATGGGTCGCGGGTGGGGTCGCGGGTGGGTCGCGGGTGGGTCGCGGGTGGGTCGCGGTGGGTCGCGGGTGGGTCGCGGGCGCGGTTTGGGTCGCGGGCGCGGTTTGGGTCGCGTGTGGGTCGCAAGTTCTCCACCTGGAACGGATGCAAAAAAACACGCCGCAAGCGCCGAAAATTTTGGGTGGGTCGCGGGGTGGGTCGCGGGGTGGGTCGCGGGTGGGTCGCGGGTGGGTCGCAGGGTGGGTCGCGGGGCGGGTCGCGGGTGGGACGACGACAACAACAAACAACCAACAACAAACAACAAACAACAAACAACAACAAGAATCCGCATCGCGGAATTCCACTTCAGCCACGCACCCAGGGACAGTGAATGACCGTTCGGTTCAGCCCCTCACTCTGACTCAAAGAATCTTCCCCACACCATTTTTTACATTCAATATTTGAATATTCCTCCTGTAGAGGGACACGTCCGACTTCTACTACTACTACTACTACTACTACTCCTCCTCCTACTACTACTACTACTACTGCTACTGCTACTGCTACTGCTACTGCTACTGCTACTGCTACTGCTACTGCTACTGCCACTGCTACTGCTACTGCTACTGCTACTGCTACTGCTACTGCTACTGCTACTGCTACTGCTACTGCTACTGCTACTGCTACTGCTACTGCTACTGCTACTGCTACTGCTACTGCTACTACTGCTACTGCTACTGCTACTGCTACTGCTACTACTACTACTACTACTACTACTACTACTACTACTACTACAACTACAACTACAACTACAACTACAACTACTACAACTACAACTACAACTACAACTACAACTACAACTACAACTACAACTACAACTACAACTACAACTACAACTACAACTACAACTACTACTACTACTACTACTACTACTACGACGACGACGACGACGACGACGACGACGACGACGACGACGACGACGACGACGACTACTACTACTACTACTACTCACCGTCCTTCCTTCTCCTGTTGTGCCAAATGAGGCACTGGTGCGTCCCCCGCTGTCCCGACCGCGGCTTGGAGTCAAATCGCCGGCGGCAAAAAGTTTCGGCCCCTTGCTCATGACCAGTTCGACCTCTCGCGAAGCAGCAATTCCCCCATCCTCGCAGCAGTGCAACTGAAGAGTTGGATGCTCTAGCTAGCTATGGCCGCGCAAGAGTAGATGCCATGCTGCCCACCTCGGCTGGCAGGTTCACGCGGGCACGCGTGACGACACTCTGCCACTCCCTCACACGACCCAACGCCGTCCACGAAGCCCGCGCCACGAACACACTAGCCGAACTGGAAAGCCTCCCAGACGGATCTCGGGCACACGCTAGCTCGAAACAGGAGGCCAATGCCGCCCGACTTGACGACGGAGCGCGCCGACTCTGTTCGGACCAATCGCTAACTAACGTGCCTTGGTCCGTGTCTGCGCTTCCCCGAGGATGGCCCTCCTTTGCCAGCACGCGTCCTTTTCCTGCCCCGAGTCTTCGCCCACAACGCGGTTTGGAGGACACGCGGGGCAACACAACTGGATCACACCAAGAAAATCAAGCACAATCAAGGGTCCGGCACCGTGCTCCCTGGAGCCTGGCGGGTTTGCATGATTCAGAGGCTGTCTGGCTCACTTTCTGGGCGGCCGTCTGAAGGCCACGCGTCTGCGGCCTCCTGGGAGGTTCTTCAGATGTCGCCACACGATGTGCCGCGCTGACGCGACGGCGGAACTTGCTGCACCTGGACAGCAACAACATCAAGACAGTAACAACAACAACACCAACAACACCACCACCACCAACAACGACGACGACGACAACAACGATGACGACAACAACGACGACAACAACAAGGGACGAGGGCGACGAACGGTGCGGGCGAGCAGAACAGCACCACGAATGACAAGGGTAACGAGGAACAGACAGAGGACAGTACCATCATGAGTGCAAAAAAGTTCGGCAGAAGTGGGTTTTCATAAGAAGATCGCAAAAAAGGGTAGTGGAGGAGGGAACTATCAGCCTCAAGCTGGGTTCGCTCCCTAGCCCACCTTGGGCTAACCCTCCCTTGCCCTCGAGAAAGAATCTGGCCGGTGACCAAGTGTTACCAGAGGAGTCCCTGGCCCAAGGTGTCCTCAGGACTCTAGGGAGGCCCAGATGGCCTCCAGCGCACTCCTCACGAGGCCAGCGGGCCCCAGAGGGCCCCAGGGGCTCCAAACAGGCGCCAAAAAGCCGGGGACATCCTGGGCCGAAATCACTTCTAGCAACACGCGACACTCCGACAACAGACGATATCGACCACCGGCTCCACGGAAACTACACCTACCCTCTTTTCCAGGCGGCTGGCTGCCTACGCCCATGCAGCGACCATCGGGGGAGTCGCTCCCTCTCTTTGCCTTCCCCCGCCCTCATCCTCAGCCCCCCGCACCACCCCAGCTCTGGGCGCCTGCTCCTCCTCCTCCTCCTCCTCCTCCTCCTCGTCCTCCTCCTCCTCCTCTTTTTCCTCCTTCTCCTGTTTCTCCCCTTTTCTTCTTCTTCTCCCTCCTCCTCCTCCTCCTCCTTCCTTCTTCCTCCTCTTCCCCCTTCTCCTCCTCCTCCTCCTCCTCCTTCTCGATTCTGCTCCTCCTCCTCCTCCTCCTCCTCCTCCTCCTCCTCCTCCCTCCTCCCTCCTCCTCCTCCTCCTCCTCCTCCTCCTCCTCCTCCTCCTCCTCCTCCTCCTCCTCCCTCCTCCTCCTCCTCCCTCCTCCTCCTCCTCCTCCTCCTCCTCCTCCTCCTCCCTCCTCTCTCCTCCTCCTCCTCCTCCTCCTCCTCCTCCTCCTCCTCCTCCTCCTCCTCCCTTCTGCGTCGTCGTCGTCGCCGCTGCAACTCCAGACTTGGCTGCGCAAGCGAGGCGGGAGGAGGGCGCGCGGACGCCGCCGCACCAGGCTGCTGTCCGCGATGCCGCCCGCCGCCGCCGCCGCCCCCTGGGCATGCAGGACCTGGGGGTGGGGTGGGGCACGGTCGTTGTCGTTGTCGTCGGCGGGCCAGTCGTCGTCGTCGTCGTCGTCGTCGTCGTCGTCGTCGTCGTCGTCGTCGTCGTCGGCGTCGGCGTCGGCGTCGGCGTCGGCGTCGGTGTCGGCGTCGGCGTCGTCGTCGTCGTCGTCGGCGTCGGCGTCGGCGTCGGCGTCGGCGTCGGCGTCGGCGTCGGCGTCGTCGTCGGCGTCGTCGTTATCGTCGTTATCGTCGTCGTCGTCGCCGGCGGTGGGGTCGGCGGATTGATCCCCCAGAGGGTCAACGACGTCCAACAGCCTCCTTCTCTCCCCTCTCTCCTCTCTCCTCACTGGCGTGCAGGACCTGGGGGGGGAGGTAGGATTTAAGACGCAGCTAGGAGGAGGATAACTTCGGGTGAGGATAAATCGAGAATCTCTAAGATCCGGCGGCTCTGGATGGTGTATCGAACGCCTCGGCCTTCTCAGAGCGTTCCAGAATGTTCTGAGAGCGTTCTGGAACGTTCTGGAACGGATTGGTCCTCCTCCTGGCCCCGTCCGACAGGAGAAGGATCAGCCAGCATCAAATCGGCAAATCGGATCGAATCGAAATGTGCATCGGATCGGGCTGTATTGGCACGTGATCGAAATCGAATCGGATCGGCTGCGCCACGATGCACAGCGACGCCGTGCAAGCATGGGGCCGCATCGGATCGTCGGCATATTGGAGTCGATGGGATCGGGCCGGCTGGAATCGACATCGAATCGGATCGATCGGACCGAAATTGACCTTGAGGGCAGGTACGGTCAAAACATGGCCACAATAATATGGCCCCTTCGCCGAATGCGCAGGGCCCCATGGAGAGGCTTTATTACATGGAGAGCATTCCAGGGTGGAGGGCCCAACAACCAGGATCATGAGGATAAACAGCCCCTCACAAGCTAGGGATGTTCTTGACCATTGTGGCAGTTCTAAACTTTCGGAGGTCGGCGCAGGTTTCTTGGATCGAGGCTGGGCACCACCAGCGACGCCTTCGGCACCCCCCCTGGCGCGCACTGCGCGTCAGGGAGGGGGGTCCAGCGCCAATCCAAGGAATCTGCGAGGACCTCTGCCGAAAGTGCGTTAATTTAGTTTTTTTTTTCTAAGAACACAGGATGAGGCAGACGAACATCCAGGTCGATCAGTGTCGCGGAGCGGAGGTCCAGGATCAGGGTCGAGAAGCGAATGAGGACTGGACTTGGCTCTTTCTTGGATTCAACCGTCCTTCGTGCCGCGAATGGGAACAGTGATGCGCATCAGTTCACTTGCCAAGATTACCTCAATCATCGCTGCTTCGCATCGCGGCGCTGAGAAACATTCGAACCTGGCGGGTGACTGAGAACACACCATCTCTATCGAGCACGTGATCGAATGAGGAGGATGATGATGAGGGAGATGAGGATGAGGAGGATGAGGAGGACGCGCATGCATCATGGAGAGGAGGAGGGTGGGCAAGATGATACAGGTGATGATGATGCTGCTGCTGCTGATGATGAGGATGCTGATAATGAGGATGATGCTGATTATGCTGATGATGATTATGCTGATTATGATGATGCTGATGATGCTACGGATGATGATGCTGATGAGGATGGATACGACGGTGATTCTGACCATGATGACGATATGATAACGATGCAACTGCTGCTGCTGCTGATGATGATGATCGGACGACGCTGATTATGCTGATGCTGATTCTGAGGATGATGCTGATGATGATGATGATGATGATGACGGCGATGATGATGATGACGAGTATAATGCGGATGATGCTGCTGCTGATGATGCTTAACATGCTGATGATGCTGCTGCTGATGATGATGATGCTGGTGCAGCTGATGATGGCGATGATGCTGATGATGCTGATGACGATGCTGGTGATGATAGTGGCATCGACGACGATGACGATGATGATGATGCTCTTGACGATGACGATGATGATGCTGATGATGATGATGATGCTGATGACGATGATTATGAGTATGATGATGATGCTGATGCTGATGATGATGCTGATGCTGCTGCTGATGATGATATTGGCATCGACAACGATGACGATGACGATGCTGATGATGATTCTGATGCTGATGATGGTGACGATGACGATGATTATGCGGATGATGATGCATGATGCTGACGATTATGGTTATGATGATAATGATGACGATACGGACGATGATGCTGACGATGATGATGATGATGATGATGATGATGATGATGATGATGATGATGATGATGATGATGATGATGATGACGATGACGATGCTGATGCTGATGCTGATGCTGATGCTGATGCTGATGCTGCTGATGATGAGGAGGCAGTTGAGGAGGAAGAGGAGGAGGAGGAGGAAGAGGAGCATGGTCGATGGCCTCCAGGAGGCTTCCACGATCGACCTAGTTATGCCTGGCTGGAGCACTCGTGACATCCGCCTGCCACCTCGGGGGGCGGCGCACGGCTGCGAAGACTGCTGCCAGGCTCCTGCCCCGTGCTCCGAGAGGCCTCCCCAATCAGGTCCGAGCAGACGTGCTCCGAGGATCGCGCCGCACCGCCCACGCGTCGTCGACGCATCGGGCGGGCGGACGTCGAGCGGGATGCATCCAGACGGACGCGGGGGCACAGTGAGAGGTAACATTGGCAAAGCGTGGAAATGGCTCGACCGAACAGGGAGGAGGGGGAGGGGAGGGGGAGAGCAGGGCGAGGGCGACGTAGCGATCGTAATCTACAAGTGTTGGGTAAGCTTGTGCACAGACGACTCCCACGGCTGACGGGGTCGGCCCCTCTTTCGGCGTGCAGGCCAATCTTTAAGGGACCCGTTTGCATTGAAAGGTACACGTGCTACGAGTGAGAGCGCGTCAGGGTTACCTATTTAATTACACAACTTGCCTGGGCAATAAACAACACATCTGCGACAGCGGTAGCGCTGAAGCGTTCTGCAACGCGCTCGCATTACTCACTCTGGATATGTGTGTCGAGTGGATGCCCAATCTGCGTTTCAGACTCTTGCAATGAAAAGTGTCTAGGCGAGCAGTGCCAGCACAGACCTGTGCAGTGCTAGCACACATACTCATCGGCATGACGCGGCATCTCCCAGACATTTGTCAACGGTCGAATGCTGAACAGCTCAGCGCTCGAGGTTGATCTCCATGTGTGAGACGACGGCAAGACGCACCGCGAAGATGATGATGCTGATGATGGTGATGCTGATGATGGTGATGGGTATGGTGATGGTGATGATGATGCTGAGATGCTGATGCTGATGATGCTGTGCTCGTCATCTTTGCTAATGCACTACATGCCAGGTTGTCATAACAGGAGTCTGGAGCAGCCAGGCCAGGACCAGCAACAGGGGATGCGAGTGAGGAGACACCAGCACGGATGAGAAGGGAGGGCCAAGACGGACGATGAGGACACAGGAGGGATGAGAAAGGATGGTGGAGGGAAGGATGTCGGGGAGGAGGAGGGGGAGGAGGAGGAGGAGGAGGAGGAGGAGGAGGAGGAGGAGGGATGTCGGGGATGAGGAGGAGGAGAAGGAGAAGGACGGAGGGAGGACGATGGTGATGTGGACGAGGTGTAATCTCTGGGCCCGCCCTGGCGTCTTCGGAGGTCGCCGCTCTCCGAAGGACCCATGGGAGCCTAAAGGCTGCCCGGCAGCGAAAAGAGACCTGGACCCTCGAGTGAGGAGCCATTGGAGGGGCACTTTCAAAACAGATCGGGCACGCCGAAGAGGGCTACAACGAGGAGGGGATTAGCGCATACTGGCCCGAGGCCAGTGCGCGGACAAGTTTTGTCGGGGGGCCGGGAGGGGGCAGGGGGCATGGAGAACGAGCAAGAGAAGGCCATGAAGAAATCGCGGAGATATCATGGCCCTGGCCATGGTATCGTTGACGCACCAATCAGGGGAATGAACATTGACCTAAACATAATAACTCGGAGGTCCGCGCAGATTTCTCGGATCGGCGCTGACCCCCCTCCCTGGCGCGCGGAGCGCGCCAGGGGCGGCGCTGAGGCGCCGCCAGGGGGGTTGGGACAGTGGAGGCCCCAGCCGCCCAGGACGTCCTCGGCGAACGATGCGAGTCTAGAAATCGAGGCCACACTAGAGGCCTCCTAGATGGGGTCGGAGGATCGCGCCGCATCGGCGATGCATCGGCGATGCACCGGCGATGCCCCGGCGATGTATCGTCGACGTCGGCGATGTGTCGGCGACGTCGACACGAAGCAAATCGGACTGCAAATCGAGCCGCATCGGCGATGCCTCCGATCCCGTCTTCTCCGACCCCGCTTAGGAGGCCCAGACACACCGAATCCCCACCGGTGTGGTCACCGCACCGTTGGTGGAGAAACCCCCGATCTTCGACGCGCCCCCGAAGGAATCGGGGGCGTCCCAAAGGGGGGTTCGCGGATCATGGCCCGAGGCACGTGCGCGGCCCGGGGGGAGGAGAGGCAAGGGGACGTATACCGAAATACGAGGGGGGGTCTTGACATCTGGGGAGACCTCATGGCCCTGGCCATGATGTTTCCCCCCATCCCCCTCAGTCCTCCCCCCTCCTGGCCACCCCCGACATGTGAGGGCCCCCGATCCCCGATGTGCGCCGCCCCACGGGTGACGAGGCCGCAGGGGCGCGCGACCGGGACGTTGAGCAGGAAGATGCCCAGCCAGAGGCACAGATTACCTGCGCTGCGTCTTGCCCCTGCCGGCGGCTGCTGCCTCCCTGCATCTCCTCCTCCTCCCCCTCCTCCTCCTCCTCCCTCCCTCGTCCTCGTCCTCCTCCGCCTTTTCCTCGTCCTCGTCCTCGTCCTCGTCCTCCTCCTCCTCTTCTCTCCTCCTCCTCCTGCTCCTCCTGCTCCTCCTCCTCCTCCTCCTTCCTCGTCGTCCTAGTCTCCTCCACCTGATGCTGACGGCAGGTCTGTCACTCTTCTTCAGTCCCCCCTCCTTCTTCCTCCATGCCCCCACTTCTCCTTCCGCGATCCTCCTCCTGCTCCTCCTGCTCCTCCTCCTCTTTCTCTCCTCTTTCCTCCCTCCTCCCTCCTCGCTCCTCTTCCTCCCCTTTCCTCATCCCCGAGTCGCTCCTCCTCCTCCTCCTCCTCCTTCTCCTCCTTTGTTCTCATAATTTCTCCCTCTTCCTCCTCTTCTTCCTCCGTCCTGCTGCCCCTCTTCCATCTTCGTCGTCCACCCACCGAATGCAGAACCACGTCGGTGGCGCGGCAGGTCTTACGCCTCCAAAAACGACGAACTATCACTGCGCCTTTTAGTCGGCGTGCGACTGGGCGCAGGCAGGCGGCCACGTGCGCGGCGTTCCGTACAGGCTGTTTCAGCAGGAACGCGCCAGCCCGAAGTCGAGTCGCCAGGGCGAATGGCCCTTCGAACAAAGTGGGGTCAACATCGCTGTCATCATCACCATCACCACCATCATCATCCACATCCTAATCCCCATCCACACCCTCATCATCATGTCAGTCATCACCACCAACACCAACACAACCACCACCATCATCATCGTCATCACCATCACCATCGTCATCACCATCGTCGACATCATCATCATCCTCACCTCCTCCGCTTCATCATCACCATCATCATCGTAACCGTGGTCATGATCAGGATCACCATTCTCATCATCACCACCACCAAACCCATCAACATCACCGTCACCATCGCAATCGACACCATCACCTTCACCATCATCATCATAATCATCAACATCGTCATCATCATCCTCGTCAGCATCACCACCACCGAAATCATCAGCATCAGCGTCATCATCGCCATTATCAGCATCATCATACACAACATCATCAACATCATGCACATGGTCATACCCATACTCATACCCATGGTCAGCACCATAACCACCATTACCATCAAACCCTTCAGAATCATTATCACCACCACCACCATCACAAGCGCCATTACCTCCCATCACAACCACCATCACCATCATCATCACGACCATCATCGTCATCATAACCATCATCACCACCACCGTCATCATCATCACCATCGCCATCACCATCCACATCCCAACCTTCACCCACACCATCATCATCATTATCGTCATCACCACCAACACCAACACAGCCACCACCATCATCATCGTCATCGTCATCACCATGTCATCACCATCATCATCATCAACATCATTATCACCATCCTCACCTCCTCCTCCTCCTCATCATCATCACCATCATCATAACCATGGTCATGATTATAGTCACCATCCTCATCATCGCCACAACCACCACCATCACCATCACCGTCACCATCGCCATCATCACCATCACCTTCACCATCATCAGCATCATCATCAACATCGTCATCATCATCCTCGTCAGCATCACCACCACCGAAATCATCATCATCAGCGTCAGCATCGCCACCATCAGCATCAGCATGCACAACATCATCAGCACCATGCGCATGCTCATAACGATACTCATACCCATGGTCAACACCATAAACACCCTTATCATCAAACCCTTCAGAACCATCATTGCCACCACCACCATCACAACCGCCATTGCCTCCATCAATCGCTCACCATCACACACACCACCCTCAAAATCACCAAGACCACCACCATCACCATCATGTCCATCATCATCACGACCTACACCGTTTTCATAACCATCATCGTCACCGCCGTCGTCATCATCATCATCACCATCATCGCCATCATTCGCATTGCCATCGTTACCGTTATCATCATGATCATCATGCGTATCGTCAACAACATTCATCTACATGGTTATCTTCATCATCGGCATCAACATCATTACCATCACCACCATCAACGTAATCGCCATCACCAACACCAGCGACATCATCGTGAACATCATTCGCATCATCCTCACCACCACCGTGACACCCATCACCAGCACAATTACCACCATCACCGCCACCATCAGAACCACCACCGTCGTCACCGCCACTATCGACATCATGATCGCCCACGCCGTCGTCGTAGCCGTCGTCGCAACCGCCCCTATGTTCAGCGGCCCCCTCCTCCTCCTCCTCCTCCTCCTCTTCTTTCTCCCTTCTTCTCGTGTACCTTCTCCAAACCATTTCCCGTCGTCGTCGCCGTCGTTGCGTCGTTCTCCTCGATGTCCCTCCTGTTCGTCTCCCCCCTCCTCTTTCCCCCCCCATTGCCTTCTTCGTCCTTGTCTTCCCTCCTGCTCGTCTCCTGTTTGGGGTGGTTCCCAATTTGGGCCGAAACAAATGTGGTCGGAAGATCGCCCCGCATCGCCGATGCATCTGGGACCGCAGGATGAAAACAACGGGCTCCGATGCATCGGCGATGAGGTGCGGTCTTCCGGCTCATCTGCTCCTGCCCCATTCTGGAGGCCTGGATTTTCCTCATCCTCCTTCTCCTAATTCCTTGCCGCCCCAGTCCCTTCCTCCTTCTCGGCCTCCTCCTTCTCCTCCTCCTCCCACCTCCTGCTCCTCCTCCTCCCTCTCTCCCTCCCATCGCTGCTGCCTCCCTCGCTCCATCCCTCCCCCCCTCCTCCTCTCCCTCCTCCTCCCCGTGCTCCTTCGCGTCCTCGTCCTCGTCCTCGCCCTCCTTCCTCGCGTCCCCCTGCTCCCCCCCCCTCCCATCCTGCTCCTCCCCTTCCTTCTTCTTCTTCTCCTCCTCCTCCTCTTCCTCCTCCTCCCGTCCCCCTCCTCCTCCTCCTCGCGCGTGGCCGGAACGGACGCGCGGTCCGGCTCCTCGGCGACGCTATGCACGGCGCAACTGCCACCTGGCTGTAGGAGCGGCCTGCTGGGCCCTCTCGGGGTGGATTACGGCGCCGCTGTTGATGCTTCTCAGTTGATGGTAAAGCAGCGTCGCCGTTGCGGGCGCAATTAGAGATGCGGGAGATGGATCCGAGAGACCGAGGCGAGCAACAGGTGAGGCAGGAAAAGGGGGGGGGCAGGATAACTCAGCGAGGGCCGAAGAAAGAAGAGCGAGAACATATGGGCAGGACCAGACGTGGGCGAGAGAATCTGACGGGCTGTGGCAGCACATGCATGGCTCAATCTGCTGAAATCGACGGGCCGTGGTCCAGGCACCGAGGAGCAGACAAAGGACCTGGAACGCTGCTGTGGGTGACATCCCTGCTGATACTGAACGAACTCTAGGCCGCGGCAGGGAAGATGCTTCCTCGGACGCTATCGGGAGCCAACGTGAGAACCTAGAAGAGAACGCCGCCACTAAAGTACCGTGATACATTCTGGACGTTATATCTTCGTATATGATACGTTTAACTCGGATTTTACGACTGGGCTCAGCAGGACAGCAGCAGCACACAGCAAGTCGCGAGGGGAGGACAGGGATCGAAGTGACAAGGGATGTGCCGATCTGCAGAGGAAATCTCGTTGCCGCAACCCGCGAGGACTCATCGGGGGAGGGCTGGGGCCAGAACGTAGGGGCAAGCTCTGGAGCGCTCTCTCTGGAAGCTAGCGGGGCCGATCAGCGGCAGCACTGAGTTGAGGAACTAGTGAACTCCAAACTGTGGAATGCAGAGTCGCCGCTCTCATGAGGGTTGCCGCGTTCTGAGCAACTGCGCTGAGGAATATTGGGGCCTCCCCGCGTCAAAAACTGAAGCCGAACTTCGCGGGGCAGGGCGCAGATCGGGCATGATATAAAGTGGCCAAAAGGGCCGATTCTTTATGTTGTATCGACGCTGGCATGGGCATACATTGGGAGACATGGGAGAGGACAGAGGCAACGCGGACAGGATAGAGGTAAGAGATCACTCTCAGCGGAGCTCTTGTGATGGCCAGCTCGAGGGTGCACGATCTCCATGTCGCAAGCGGTGATCGCCAGCTGTGATCTGATGCTGCTGGACCAAACCGCATGCCCAAATACTTTAGAACTTCGTTGATCGGTATCGATGCCCGGTCTGGAATTATATTGGATATAACATGGTGGTACTCATCGCGCAAGGCCGGTGTGTGCGGTCCACTCAAGGGGGCGATCACGTATTTCTTCAGCTTCAGGACAAGCACTGCTACTCTCCGTGCCGTAGAGAAGATACGATGCATTACTCGAATATGTTCCAACCGACGCAGCGCAGCACCCGCGTCATCAGCGCAGGCTCGTACCGCTCCACGATCCTTGCGACAAAATGAAATGCCGAGGTTGGTCATGAAAAGGCTCCGCCGCAGGGGCGAAGATACAACCATAACTCGGACAGCCCTGAATTATGCAGATCCAGAAAAGTAGAGCGAGATCAGTGCCAATCGCTCCGTCACAGCGAAGGGAAACTCAGTGAAAATGACCAGCAGCTGCGGCAGCATCATGGCATTGACAACTTTGAGGACCCAGCTGTGTGCTAAGCTGGGGAAGGCCGGACCAACATCGTATCCCACTAGGGAAAGGCATGGCTACGGAGGCGTCCTCTTGCATAGAATACATACGTCCATAGGCGTCCAATTCGACAATGTTGATGCCACAGTTTCTTATCCATACAAATCCTCTGTGTATACGGTTAGCAAAACGATGAAACGATTGATTGAATCGACGGAAGGCTACACCAGCTACTATCTTATTGTCCGTGTGTTTGAAGCCTATGGGGTCGTAGATCTGAAGGATGCCTCGTAAATCTGAAGGATGCCGAAGAACTCAGTGAAAAGGGTACCTTCGGGCTCTTCTCTTTTGGGAACGAAAACACCTGGTAGCATATTATATCCCAGAGGCATCGGGTTCCCTTCTAGTTGCCACCAGGGTACATCATACAGTAATTGAACTCCTAACTCTGAGGCCTGCGCACCATAGGGAATATAATCTGGACCAGGACCCGAATGTGTTTGTTTCCGAATGCATGTTTGTACGTCGTGATACATCGGAGGAGGTCGGTCTCGGAGGTCGGAGGTGTTCTTGTAGCGAGAGAGGTAGACGTTTGCCGCGGTGCCCTCTATGGTTTTGGGGAGAGAGTACCGAGCCCCAGCGATCAGATATCGCCTGAGAGCTGCGCATCGGAGAAGTCAATTTTTCTGAATATGCACGTAACCCCACAAAGCGGACAGACTTCTCGAACGGACCCCACAGCCTACTACGCTCTGCGAATAAGCAAAGCCGCTTGCGCACTCTGGTCTGCGTCTGCAAACCGGTGTGCTGCAGCTGATCCCGACCCCGACGCTGCTCTTCTTCAGCGTCAGCGAATTGAAGGGCATCGAAAGCGTCAGCAAAAGATGCGGGCCTGCACAGAGAGATGCGCTGGGTGTCTGAATCGATCGATAAGTGTTCGCGAGCAAGCTCGTATCGAACTAATCGATGCGCGAGCTGAATGTCTTGACGCCAAACGGCCATGGCAACTGATCTGAGAAGAATCATCTTACTCGCAGCGTTCGTCGGATCGTGTGTGAACATCGCGTTCCTGGCATATCTAGCTGCACCTATTTGTACAAGCGCAGACGGACAGGAGGCGAGCACAGAACCAGATCCAGCCTTCCCCAGAAGTCTTCCAAGAAATGTTGAAAATCTGGATGTTTGAACACTGACCTTGGGATAGGCTGAGAACGCTGAGGCTGAGGAGGGCGATGCTGCATAACGACCTGGAGCGGGGCGTGATCTGAGATGCCCTGCTGCTCTAAAGTCTCGGGGAGGTCCCTCACCTTTGCCGAGATGTGCATCTGTGTCAGAAGCCAACTAGGAGCGGCCAGAAACACCCTGTCGATTTTTGAGGTATGCTGTAGATCCTCCTCCTCCTCCTCCTTCTCCTCCTCCTCCTCTCGGCAAGCGCGCCAACGCCAACCCCCGGCGGGGCGCCGCGCGCGCATGGGCGGGGTGCCGAAGTAGTTGGGGTGTTGGCTGAAGCTCCAGAGCCCGACGTCGCAGAACTTGCCCTTGTTGAGGGGGTCCTGCCCCGGGACCCGGGTGCCGACGAGAGCGTCCCGGGGGTGGGCGTCCAAGAGTGGCGTCCAAGAGGGTGGCGTCCAAGCTTAGGTCGGGCCTGTCCCCCTACAAGGGGATTTGGGATGAAAATAAGAATACCGCCGATCTGGCGTGTGTTTCTGAGAGCGTGGGCTTGAGCTCGCTCAAGCTTCGCTCTGGAGGGGTGGGGGTGCGGGGGGGGAAAGGAGAGAGGGGGGTTGGGGGCTCGCTCAAGCTTCGCTCTGCAGGGGGGGGGGCACCGACGAAAGAATTGACACGCGAGGGCGGGGGGAGGGGGGAAATGAGAGAGGGAGGGGGGGGGCAGGAGAGAGGGGGGGGGGACAGGAGAGAGAAGGGGGGGGGAAAGGAGAGAGGGGGGGGCGGGGAGAGGGGGGGTGGACAGGAAAGAGGAGGGGGGGAGGACAGGAGAGAGGGGGCAGGGGAGGGGGAAAGGAGAGAGGGGGGGGGGGGGCCCAGGAGGAGAGGAGGGGGGGGGACAGGAGAGAGGGGGGAGGGGGGGGAAAGGAGAGAGGGGGCGGGGGGGGGAGGAGAGAGGGGGGGGGGGGAGGGGGAAAGGAGAGGGGGGGGGACAGGAGAGAGGGGGGGGACATGAGAGAGGGGGGGGGGAGGGAAAGGAGAGAGGGTGGGGGGGGGGGACAGGAGAGAGGGGGAGGGGGACAGGAGAGAGGAGGGGAGGTGGGGATGGGGGGGCAGGGATCATCACCATCTCCATCACCATCACCATCACCATCGTCACATCATCATCATCATCACCATCACCATCACCATCACCATCACCATCACCATCACCATCACCATCACCATCACCATCACCATCACTA